ACGTGTCCAAGTGAGTAGATGACACAGTAAAGCAAAAAAACAGATGTCATAATGTGGACTATCCCACGTCACGCGCGCTATATATCAGTTTTACTCTACAGAAAACATATTCTTAACCAAACTATTGCAATGCGTTTCGATTCGTATACAGGGTTTCGGATTAGGGTGGGGAAGTGAAAGACCTCCCCGTCCTATATTTTGACACTGTCCGCTAGATTTTTGGAACTTTTGTTCTACCTAGAATTTGTGCAACCTTTTTGTGAGCACAACACATGTCGCGCTTACTTCGCAAGTATTTGATCTGATAAACTGTAACAGACCGGCAGCCATTATCAACAGCTACAAACTACCTATCAAAATGGTCTTTTAGATTCTCAGTCTTTTAAATTCTGATGCGAAGTAACAAAAATCCTTTTCAATGAACAAATGTTTCACTTGTTTAGAAAAAAAACTGTCCGTCAGAAAAATCTTCACATAATGTGCAACCAGGTGAGCTTTTGGTGAAAAAATGGCAGTTGACTTTTCAGTGAATCAAATAGTGATTAATATACTATGAACTATGCTCTATTCGATGTTTAAAAATGTTTTCTCCTACGACTAATTTAAGCTGGAAAAAACATGAACAAAAATTGCACTGAAAACGATGGTCCCGCCGGAAAATCGAATTACACGCAAAATCAAGGTAAGCCGTACGACAAACAAACGCATATTCAGAATTTCCATCCAGTTCGCTATCGACTGGTAAACAATTTTCAAATTTTCGGCCTTCCAAGCCGGACAAATCAAATAAAACATTTTTCTAAAGAGTTCTCCAAAGCGATATGTTTGACAAAATGCGTGCGCCAACTTTAGCCCAACTCCAATTTTGATGAAACTTTCAGAGAATGTGATCCTATATATTACACGTCCACACAGATAGCGAAAACTTGCAAAAAGTTTCCTGTCCCGAGTTACTGATTTTCCAAAAAACCCTCGGTTTTTCAGATATTTTCTATTTTTCTCTGGCTAAAATGTTTCAAAATTTGAACAAAATAACATATTCGGAATCAGCGCAAAAAACTGCATTGACTCATGTATAGTACAAGAGGTTTTGGATCCCAAAACGACAGATTTTACAAAATCCTGCGGTTGAAGACATTATTCAGGAAGTTTTCTACTGCATATTCAAACGTCAGTTGTAACATCAGACTCAAGCCTATAATAGCATTTCATATTGCCTTTCGAATGTTCTCATTCCAACAACACTGCTTTCAAAGTCTAAGAACAGTTTTTAAGAGGTTTGCCCCTTTATGTATACAATCAACGAAAACTCACTATACAAAACGCTTCGAACTGTTTCTTGGGTAGTTATAATTTGATATTAGATATTTCTACATACCTGTCACGCTCTTGTAGCACATACCTTAATATATACGTAGGATAACAGTGGAACAAGAGGAGAGCCACAGCCACTTGAATCTATTCGGAAAGATTTATATAGGCAGTCAATAAGCAAAATCAAAGATAACATGTACTTATCCATCTGAGTCGAAACATTTTCTAATATACAACTATGTGACGGGATTATACTAACTGTTTCACACTAGTTTATCAAGGAAATTTAATGGTATTCATGTCAGTATTTCTGCTTGAAAAAATACTTAACCAACAAACTTCTTTGATCACTACCTTAGACCATGTCTGTCCTAAAATAAGAGAGGTGTGCCCATTTTTGAATATCTCGGCAAGGAAACGAGCTATATGCCAGCAATTTCCACCATTCTAAAGCGGACACTTTGGGGCATCTTTTGACCTATCTGGTCTCAAAATTCTCAGATTTACAGGTAATGTACCTTGTCGATCTTTGAGAAGGTGCTTTTCAGCCTTGACATCCTGTAGCAACAGTTATTTCAGATGGGATGTGTAGTCCATACTGTCGTGTATCGATCTATGCAGATCGAAAATCTCTACCTCTCATAGTTCCGCCGGAGTAGCCCTTTTGCTGGGAGACGTATTATTGACTAAAAGAAAAGCAATACGCGATCAGAAAAAACTCGCACAAACGTTTTGGACCATGCTCTTTCACCTGGCAATATTTGTTTTCAGTTTTGGAAACATTTTTTGTCGGAATTTGAAAGTGAGAGCAGATATTTGTAACTTTTCACATGTTATATTAACAAGAATCAGTTTTATAAAAATCAATCAGCCAGTTGCACAACAACAAGCACCAAAAGACTGAACAAACTTATTGTGTTTCTCTCATTTGTCGCTATTCTTCAATTACAATTTTGATTCAAGGAATTCTAGATAGATATCAGCTTTTCTATACATATTTTCGCTTTCAGCTGCATGATGTAAATATGAACAAGTAGTACTTTTGCCCCATGCATTCATTCACTTGCATACTGTTGTACATAATCTAATCGAAAGGATGTATTTTGATCTATGACAAAAGCTTCCAAACCTACAAATCTGAGAAGTTTTCAAAAAATGACAAATCGCCGGCAGTAACAAATTTGTAACAGTTTTTTCTATCTGCCCGTGCAAGTTCTACACAATTCAGTGAACAGTATTTGACTAGCAACCTCAATGTTACAACTTATATTTGTCAGCAAATTTATCAATAATATATTCTTTTGTTGGAGCATATGCATATGACCGTTTAATTAGTTCAGCCTTTGAATATTGTTCCAAATATGAAACATGATGTTTTCTCAAAAAAAACATTTCAAGGAAATTTCGAATAGTTAAAATTACTGAACTGGCTATTTGTTCTAAAATCTAGTTAGTCTCACTTGAATTGAGAAGATTGTTCCGTATACACTCTAAAAAACGTCGTAGATTAATAAACTATCAACAACAGTGTATTAAGACCAATAAACCTTTTAAAAAACGGTTTTCCGTTTTTAATATCCAAAAAACTAAAAAGCGTTCGTGACAGATGCAAAATGAAAAACGAGCGGTTTTTTATCAAAAATAAAAACCCCTTTTCAGTTTTTTGTCGAGTCTAAAAAACTAGCTAAAACACTAAGAGTTTTTTAGTAGTTTAAAAAGAAAAGCTAAAAAGCTCTTAGTGTTTTAGCTAGTGTTTTAGACTCCTCTTTTAGACTCCTCTTTTACCACGAGAGAAGAATAGTAAAAGGTTTTTTTCTTCTCAACTATTGACGAATCTGACTTTTCGTCCAAGATCGAAGTGAAATATGACTTTCTTCCATTTATTTTGAATGTCATGCGGCATTGTCCACGATTGTACATATTGATCGTATGAAGCAAGAAAAAGAGAGTATAAATATTAGAATGGTTGTTATAACTTTTGTTGAGAAGCAGAAAGAACGTGCAAAACTCTCAAAACCGCCATATCCCTCAATGCTACAGAAAATGCAGATAATAGTAGAACACAGAATCTGTTACAGCAAAACTCTCAAACCTCTTTTATCGTTCAATAGGATAGAACATAGACATGGCAAAAGAAAACTCTTATTTTTAATAGTACAAGGATTACAGATAATGGCAGAACAGCGAATTTATACCCTTATATCTTGCAATAGTAAAGAAAATAGACATCGTGGTAGAAAACTCTCATAAAACCCACACCTGTGCACGGTATGGAACATAGACATGATCGTAGAATACAGAATTCTGTTGTATATCGAAACTCTCAAATTTCTCATCCCTAGCAAAATCCCTATGAGTTTCCTAACAGGACCCGACCATATCCTACCCATACCCTACTAGCATTTCGCTTTAATTTCTTAGGATCCTAACAAAATCGTACAGAATTCTGATAAAATCAGGTAAACAAAATGACGAAAATGTAAAATCGAAAACGATTCTTTTTCATGTCGAATTTGAAAAAGTGCCTATGACTAATCATCAAGGATTTATTAATACTGTAAGTTGAAAAATCAGTTGCAAATTACACAAATTAAAATGTCCTCTCGATTTTCATATGAAAATAAAACGCTGGATTTTATATCTTTTTTATATAGTAAACGGTGATTTTAAACTTGAGCGTTAAACTTTAAAATATACTATATAATCGTTAAGGAGTAAGTATGGGTATTCGTTAAAACTCGTCATTTGTATAAAATCTACACAACTTACAGTGTGGGAGATAGAAAATCTCTATCTAAAAGTTAAAAAGATGTCTCTTAAGAAGATCAAATATTTGTCACTTGTTCATATTTCATTCAATGATTTTTCTATTGGAAGTAATGGTATCCAAACTGAGTTTAATTTCACTGATGTCGTTTGATCATCGAAGCAATCTATATACGGAAGATTAATAACAGCTGGAACTGTGCGCATCTCTGTACACATCGGACAAAATTCATCATCTGTACGTTCTTCTTTACAAACACTACAACAACTTGTTGATTGTTCATCGTAACTATGATTTCGATTAAACCAGCATTGTTGAGCTAATGAAAAGTCCTTTGTAGAGTGTAACGATGAATTTGATGCTGATGCTATCGGAACAGGTGAAGATATTTCTTTCATTTCTGCGCTGTGACCACTGTTCAAGTAGAAACTTGAATTTTTATCGATGGTAGTTGCAGGCGTTGTTGACACGAACGGTATGTAATCAGATGAACAACGGTGGATGGAGCAACTCAACGACTAAAATGAAAACTCGGATGATGTAAAAATATTAACTTTCTAAGTCATACATGTCTTTGTGGTTCTTTTAATGTTTGGTGTTCCATCTTTGTTTTTTTATCTTTCTTTGTGAGTATGATTCGTACGGTGGTCTCGTCTTCTTGAAATGCTACAATAACATTGGAGTCAGTAGTCTGGTGACCCTGCTCGTTGCTACCGTCAACAACTTCAAACATCATATCCACGGAACGCGGCATGGCTTCGCCAGTCCGAGATTTCTGGTCGACAATAGGATCGGAGTGCCGATTATTGGAAAATAATACTTTCTTTAATTTAATTATTCGTTGGTCTTGTTGTGTCTGTTTCCACAGATCGATCAATTTTAACGAGAAAATAACCCATTTTCTTAGGCATTTTTCTAACCAATATAAATTCAAGTTATGAAGAGAAGTTACACTGTTCTCAGTATTATTACTATGATAAAGTTGAAGTGGTTGTTGTAATTTTACAGAAACCATAGTGTTCTGTATATATTTTCTGCACACAAATTAAATTTATGGAAATTATTCGTAAAAAAAATTATCCATTCAGTGATATTTAGTTGCGCGACTCAAATATATTTGTTCTCAGAACAACGTTAACGAATATTGGCAAATTATTTGGCGCTTGATGTTATATTAGCTGTTTAGATTTCACCCCGTGCCCTATGAGAAACATAAGATTTATGTAAAAAGTCTATACTCAGTTAAGCGCGTTATAGGTAGCTCAAGGTGTCTATCTATCAAAATCTATAATGATCTAGGCCTTGCCGAAGGTTGTGGAGGGTTACTGAAACCTGAAGAAATCGACTTTCCCACAAATTAAACTGTATCGATAGAATATCAAAGCCAGATATACTTTTTCGGCATGCCAGTTTCTATTGTTTTGTTGTTGTTGTTGTAGAACAAAATTCTGAACAAATGAGATTTATCCCAAGTCTTGGTGGTATTCTTTTAATCAAGACCTATGAAGAGTTTCGCTAAAACCTCAAAAATAAGCACGACAGAGTAGTGCACCTGTTTACCGAAAATCACTTTCACCGTTACTGTGTTTTGTATTTTGAGGATTCATCCATCAAACTCAGTGATCAAGACCTCAGATTCGTCCCAAACTAAAGCCAACATGTAGGGCTAATTCTCCACATATACATTATCAAATAGATCATTTCGGATAAGAGATTAATACCGATCGTCTACACAATTTCGTCATTTTGTTTACCAGATTTTATAAGAATTCTGTACGATTGTGTTAGGTTCCTAAGAAATTAAAGCGAAAAACTACGTTTCCATCTATGTCTGAGTCTATTAAAAATTATCAGAAACCGATCTTGAAGCTCTTAGGAAATACGGTATCATGACTAAACGATGGGAAGTGAATGTAGATTTTTCGCTTTGGCCCGAACTGACTCGACGTTTTGACTCTGCAAAAAATGAAACTGTACCTATTACTTTCACTTAGCCGTTTTATTGTGAACACACTAAAGCAAGGTAAGAGTAACTGACTATATCTCATGTACTGTTTTTTTTGCCGTAAATTCCCATGCTTATACGTTTGGATAATTATGTACATTAACTACAGAAGCTGTAATACAATGATTGACTCTTAGCTTCTGAAGCTTTCCTCTATTTATTCCATTAATGTTCACCCATTTTCAATGAATTTCTACAGACGTGTTGTAGTTCACCTTTATCTGTGAGATGGATAGTGTGCAGACACTACGGAGTATTTGGTGACAGTCGGAAATCTAAATAGAGTTTCTAGACTGAGATATGAACCTTTTTTAAACGTATCTATTACAGTACTCGAAAAAATTATACAGCCGCTGTATTTTTGAAATTTTTCAGTGAAGCCGAGTGACTAGGTCAAATCTGATTAGTGATTTCGATAGCCCTTGAAGTTCTCTATTAAATACAGTATGCGTCAAAA